AAAGGGCAAAATGGTCAAAATTAGGGTTTTGACTGAGAAAAGGCAATTTCTGATTTTTGACCTAGCAAATGGTTGATTTGTTGGAAACATGATCTCAAGGATTCAATTACATCATTTTAACCTAATGGCATGACTCAAAACATTGCTCAAGGTCATTTGATTGATAGTTTATTTTCAGTTAACTGATCAAAAGTCAATTGTACACTAAAAAGTCAAACTTTGACTTTTTGGTCAAAATCAAGTGTCAAAGATCACAATTCATCAAAACATGTCAAAATATGAAACTTGTTCATCAAAAAATCAAAAAGTCAAGATTTCATTTTGAAAAGTCAAAGTTTCCAAACTTAGAAATTTTTAGTGTTGAAAACTTCATATTATTTCACAACTTTGAGCCAATTTTTCACCATGATGCAAGATGATTCAAAGGAAACTTTCAACATGAAAGTTGTAGATCTCAATGAGATATAAAACATTGATTTACACAACTCATTATAAAAATGCTTGGATTTCAAGTTATTAATCCATGAAATCATGGTCATGAAACTAAACACTTAGTCAAAATTTTGCCCAAGTTAGGCAGATTTTTGGTACCAACTTCATAGCAACTTTTCACATAGCTCCATTTGGAATTTGAAAAAGTGATTCAAAGAGGGGTTATAGAGAATTTTACAAGCTTTCCAAAATTTCCAATAACTTATTGAGATCATGTTTGAATAGGGAGAACCGAAGAGATGAAGTTAGGGTTTTCAAACTTGAATTACAAGCCATTTCATGATGAACAAGAATTCAAATCCAAGTCGAGGCTGCATAATTTTTGCTTTTCAGGCCTCAAACTTGTTTGTCACTCCATAATTAAATGTTTACACAGTTGTTAGAGCTTTAATCCAAGCACTTGAGCTTTTATCCAAGTTACATTTCCATTTATGGCACAAAGTAACCATTCCATTCTTGTAAAGAAGCTTTAATCACAAAGTCAATGCATAGAGCTTTGCACTTGTTCCTTCTGGTCACAAGCAATGTCAAAGGCAAAAGCAACATGTCTAGAGCCTCCCATAAACTCAAGCCATGCTTGTACTATGCCTTGAAACCATGTTTTCACATTTCTTCAAAATCAAGTGACATAGCCATAACTCTAGAGGGTGTGCTTATGACCCTCTCAAGTGCTACAACCTTTACCTTACTTATGCACAAGTTGTTTGCAAGCTAACACACGATTCTAAGCCTCCAAGAACTCTCAAAAAACACCCTTGATGCACAGAACTGTTCCACTTGACAGTTTTGAGCCAAAACTCTCCATCTCCATTTCCACTCGTGCGTTTTGATTCTTAACCATCCAGACACCTTACTTGCATCATGCACAAGTGATCCAAGCCCTTGTTTCAAGACTGTAACTCCTCCATCACTATCCACCATTTCCAAACTGAAGCTTTCAACTTGACTTGAGTTGGGAGTTTCAGCCATCCCCAAAGCAAAGTAGGAGTTGGAACACATTCAAGGAGGTCCAGCAAAGCTACAGAAATCATCAGGCCATCTCAAAGGTTGCTCAAACTCCATACACGACTCCAGCTGCAAGAGATAAATTTTCAAACTTCTATCTCTTCATACACGCATCATTTGATTCTGATTTGTGAAGATAAGATGTAGATATCATTGTCACGAAGTTGTACATATCCATAGTTTGCATTTATATGGCCTGAGCTTAGAAAATTTTGGAGTTAAAGTTTCTGAAATTTTTAGGTTTTAAATTAGGGCCTGAAAAATTCTCACTCATCTTTAACTTTTTATTTTAGTTATTTATATGGTTGGATTCGTGGGAAGAAATGCCACAACTTTCATGTTGGTACTTTGCATTTTTGTTGAGAGATGACCAAGTTGCAGGTTGTCTGGATGGGCGTGGGGTTGAAGATGAAGTTCAGGCGATGGATTTGATTTGTAATATATATTTGTGGTTTCACATAAGTAAACGGGTGTATAGCCACCCCAGTGGTAAGGCAGCGCGCTGGTAACCAAGAGGGTGTGGGTTCAACACCCAGCGCGCTACCTTTTGCTTATTTTTTCTCACATTTTCCTTTTCCTCTTCTGTTTGCAGCGCCTGGGCCCCATAACATTGGGCCTTCTTTTTTTTGCTAACCTTCCCCCTGATTATATTTCATACCCCTTGTCCAATTTTATTTCTTTATTTCATTTTCATTTTTATTTTTATTTTACTTTCATATTTTCTTATTATTATTTTTATTACTAAATATTTTTTTTATTATTAATAGAAAAATCCAAAAATATTTATTTTATTATTTTTTCACTCATATTTTATTTTTCTTTATAAAATTAAAAAGAACACAAACAATTTAATTTCTTTCTTTTATTAATATTTAGATAATTAGGTTTAATTATTATATTATATTATTTTCTTGTAAATTAAAATTAATTTAGAATTTAGGTTTATTTTAATTAATTAATTTTTATGTATTTTTATATTATTCTTAAAAACTTTTCATAAAAAAACCCTAAAAAAATCCTTTTTAGTTAATTTCTTTTTTAATTAGTTTAAGTTAATTTTATTTGATTTTCATTAATTATTTTCTTAATTAGGTTAAGATTAAAACCTTTCATAAAACCAAATAAAAATCATTTTTTTTCCATTTTTGCATTCATGCATTTTATTTTCAATTTTGTACAATATTCAACATGGTTGTAATAGTTAATTAGATTTAATTTTCTTGCAAAATCCCCATTTGTAAATTTGTACACCCCCCCCCCTATTGATGTAATAGCTTAGTACTTTTATTTTTTGCAATTTAATGCTTTATATATAAATGCTAGTAAATTAGGGTTTGTATGGAAAGATAAAATCAATGCTTAGAAAACCCTAATTCAAAGACAAAACAATGCATGTAAATCAATACACTTGCACAATCACACCCTTAGGGTTAACTCCACTTGTTGCCTTGAGAAATAAATGGTCATGTTATGCATGTGGGGTATCTTAGCAAAAGCAATCAAAAAATACAAGATCGTAGTCCTTCGATGACGCTACAAATGTTGCCTTACGAATGATTTTAGTCCCTTAAAGAAAATGCTAAGATATCTTACAACATTGTTATTCATGACTATACGATGACCCTTGCCCGTCCCTTTTACATCTAAAGATAGGGTTTCTCACCAAATCAATGGTAAGATAACAATGTCAAAGGAAAGGGGAAATAAACAAGAAAGACTTTTGAGTAGGTAGAATGTTCCTAATTGCTTGCTCATTTTCAAACCAAAACATCCTTGCTATTTTCAAAACAAACACGAACACTTTCAAAACATCTTTCAAACTTGAAAACATTTTCAAAAGATCAACACTTTGTATACATTCTTACGAACGAGAATCATTACAAAGTTTGCCTAAACGATGGCGCCTTTTCAAAATACTTTCAAAAACCACACAAAGCACATTTTCAAACAAAAGCAAGTGATCTAGCAAGCAACAAAAGCCCGTAGATAATTAAGGATGAAAAGGGTGCTAATACCTTCCTTTTTTATAATCTACCCCCCGAACTCAAGAAAATATCTCAAAGGTCTTTCTTGTTCTTTTCGACCTTTCCTTTTGGATAAAAGAAAATCCGGTGGCGACTCTTGCTAACCGCAACATTTGCAATCAAACACAAAACACACAAGTCAGTTCTCCCAACGTGTTACAGAAGGTAACATAGCCGGCGTAAAATCTTTTAAAATAAAGGTGCCTTTTTAGTTCCATATTAAACATTAAATAGGAGCTGGAAATCGAACCTCAAACCTTGATTATATATTTATGTCGGTTTTTTAAATATATGAGGTAACATATTTATCATAATTTTTAAAAAATAAAACAATGTGCTCCCTTCACATGTACCCGCGGTTTTGTTTTGTACGTTGTGAAACCTTCGTCATGAAAAGCGTTATTTTTTGTAGTGCTTACAAGTTGGAGAAGCTTGACGGAACAATAATACCTCGCACATGGAATGCGGATAGCTTAAGATTCTATTTCAGTTGAAATTATGTTTTCATGTTTTCTTTGAAATTTGTACTTTTGTCATTCCAACGGGAAAAAAAAGTAAATAAAGCTGAGAGGTTTTCTAGTTTCCCCTATAAGGGTAGGGTCTTTAATGAGGTCCTCTCAGTTATTCAAATTAAACTCGACCTTATAGGTGCTTAAAATTTAAGGGGAAAATCTACACCACGAGAATCCTTTTGAAACAGCGGCCACAAACTTACAAAAAGCTCTTCAATCTCACCATGTCAATGTTTGCCACAACGCTCTGAATATAACATCACGAACTTATAAAAATCTCTCTTGTTTCGCCATGTCAACATCCGCCATTACACTCTGAACATAACACCAAGAACTTATAAAAGCTCTCTGGTCTCCTCATGTCAACGTCCATCATAATGCTCTGAACATACACCATGAACTTACAAAAGCTCTCTGATCTCGACATATCAACACACTTCACAATGCCCCAATGCGTCAATAAAAATCACAATGACCCATAATGAAATCAGGATCGTGTAAAAATTATTTAGTCCGCCATACTAAGGATGGTGCTATGAACATTTTCCAAGACAGACCCGTAATGGCACCCCAACACATACAGGGAAACAACATTTTCCTCGGCTTAGAACACCCAAGATCCACAAATTGTGATCCTTTAGCAAAAAACATTAAGAAGGGAAAGGAACCTTCGCTCGAAAATTTATGAATAACCTTAAAGGAAGGGAACAAAGAGAAGAAGGAGCAATGATAAGAAGAATTTTTATGCCTATGCACAGAGAAAGAAGGAAAACTATTTTGACAGCAAAAATACAATCAACAAAACATGAAAAGCACTGAGAATATAGACAAACATTATAATATATAATTTTCAAAGGGAGATAAAGTGCCATAGTAATTACAAAAAGAGAAAAGCATAATTAAACACAAAAAACATATTAAGAAAAGGGACAAAATACATAAAATCCAAAGCTACGATCTAACATCATCAATCATCTTCAGAAGGTTCATGATTTGAGTTGTCTTTGGCAGAATCCTCCACTGCGAAAATATTTACAGGGGAAGGGGAAGGGTCTGTATTATCCTTCAAACTATGGTAAGCCTCAGTGTCCTCTTCCATCATAAGATTCCCATCCCAGATAAATTTGAAAAAACCCAACTCATACAAATCAATTGAAAGGTAAAGGAAAAGAGCTTGACTTTTCACCTTGTCAAAACCCAAATCACCCACCAACAGACCCTCCATCACCATAGCTTCAAGCTTCACATTTAGGCTTTCCACGAGCTTCTCTTGTTCAAAGAGTTGAGTCTTTAAATCTTCATTGGCCATATCATCATCTGGCAACTTTCCACGGGTTTCTTTAAGACCAGAGTCAGAAGTCGTCTTGGCCGTCTTGAGACTTTCTAGCTCCTTCTCAAGCAAAACTATACGCTTATTAGCCGAAGCCGTTAAAGAATCCTTCAAATCATGAGCCTCCTGCATCTCTTTGAACTTCTTCTTAAAATATGCCTCGATCTTCTTAACATACGAGTCACTCTTCCCAGCATTCGGAGCCTCTCCACTAAGACTTTTTTCTTTGGCTAACAAAGACATTATTTTCTTCAAATTAAAACTAGTCATCTTTTCTGCAAAATACAAAAGAAAGGGATTAAGTACATGTTTCATAGAGGTACATAGAACATGAAATTACAAAAAGCGGGAATAATCAAGAACAAATGGTTACCTAAAAAAACCCAAAGGCTCACTATATTCTCTTCAATTCCTAGCACTTCACGAACCTAAATAATCCCAAAAGCATCAAAAAGCTCCACACTTCTTTCTCTGTCTCACTTAACTTTGTAACTTCAAAACCTATAACAAGCACAGGGTCTTGAATCTAGTAGAGGGGAAAGAGATATGACCCTTCATCCTTGTACATAATTTCAGGATAATTGAAACCACCCCTCACCCTTAGGAAATTATCTTTAAAATTCTTAAAGTTTGAAGAATAAACTTGAAATAAGCCCTGGTTGGGGGCCCTACCAAAGAGATTTGTCCCCCGCTACCGGAACCTTTAACCTCGTAAAAAGAGAAATAGACACCCATTGTAGGATTGATACCAAGGGCATTACACACTATCTCAAATTCTCTCACAAATGCCCAATTATTTGGTTGCAGATGTGAAGGGGAAATTCGCAGGGTTTCTATCATATCATCATAAAAATAAAAATAAAACTCATCAGGAGACCCAGGGGGTGGTACAAGCAAACCTTCTCGCCAGAAATACATGGCTCCACAATAAAATCGCTTTCTTCACCAGTGTTAGAAAGAAAAACACCTTCCCTAAATGTGTGTACATATTGTTCGCCCAAGCAAACTGTATCAAAATTCCAAACCATCATGTTGAAGGAGGTGTGAGGAAGCTCCATGGTGATCTCAACCGAACCTGAGGAAGAAGACACTGAGTCAATGTCGCTAAAGCATAGAAGCTCAATGGAATCACCATATACCTCCCTAGTTATGATACCCTAGACAGTGCTTCCCTCTTTGGGATTAAAGGTCCTAACATAAGTGTCCCATAAAAAACAAGTCTAAGAGGTAGTAACAGGGGCCACTACCCTACCCCATTTCACTGCACTCCCAGATAACCAGCATAACAGTGAAAAAACAAGCAAATAAATGATAACAAAAATTTACCTGGAGAAGAACCGAAAGAAACAAACTTGGGAACGAGGATACAGAACACTGAAAGTTTGACACTAGATATAATAAGAAAGCTTGAGAAAAGTATCGAAATTTTTTCTCTTGGTTAAGTAGAGATGACGTGAAAAATAAAATGATGCAATTAATTGAACATATGTTAACCAATAGGTACAATAATAACACTCATTCCCCATGAATAATCATCATTACGAAATGCTTCAGAACAACAATCGTTTGTGCGAAACACTAACATACACATGGGAGAGTGAGAAATTTACAAAATTTATCTAGGAGACAAATTCTAGACATGGCGCCGAAATAAGAAATTTTGATGCGTCTCAAGTTGCCGGAACCCTTAAGCACTCTGCCCTTATTATGCCTCACTCTTCAAGGGGGCTATGTACATCCAGAATTTATATCTCGGGTCATACACCAAGACAGCAAGTGATTAGGACTCTTAAGCACTTCGCCCTTACCAGGCCTTACACTTAGGGGGATATGCTCATCCAGAACGTATATCGCGGGTAACTTACCCATGCACCAAAGTTCTATACACCCGGGATGTATATACACAGTCGAGATGTATACCCCAGATAATATACCATGGTGAAAGAGTTAGACTATACTCCAAGTCACTAGAACTCTTAAGCGCTTTTCCTTTACCAGGCCTCATGCTTGGGAGTCTATGTACATCCATGAAACATGCCCGGATAAAGAACCTATGCGCCAAAATCCTATGCTAACCGGGATGGACATCTCGGGTAACTTGATGACACCAAAATACATCGTTTATTTGACTTGATTTGTGCATATTTTTATTGTCATTTTGTTTTACATTTCCACTATTATGCTGGTATTTTGTTTGTTTTCAGGTATTTAACCATTTAAGAGTCACATGCGAAGAAATAAAGTAAAACGGACGAAAAAAAGGAAGAAATAGAGCAAGCTAGGATCTATGGCGACCACCATGGTGTTCACTGTAGGGGTGCCATAGGTGGTCGACGCACCAACGGATAGAGTGACCAAGTCATGCCCATTTTATGAGCATGGCAGTCGCCATGGAGGGCATGGTGGTTGCCACCCCTTATAGAGGCCAGACGGTTGGAAATAGAATTTTCTTAGCCTCCAAGAACCCGAAAACTGCCCCAACATTTTCTCCATGAATTTGAAGCATTTTTAGGGATTTTAGGGTTTTTGGAACCCTATAAATACCCCCTAGTTCCACCATTTTGATCATCCAAGCTTAGTTCATACTTAAGCCATATATTGTCGAACTGTAAGCGTTAACCCTTCACATCGAAGAGTTATCGTGCCATTGATCGAGTATGTATCAAGTTTGGAGCACCCTTGTACAAGTTTTATTTCCAAACACTTTATTTTTGCCATTTACATTTTGTCAAAGCTTTAATTCAAGTTATTTCTTGTTGTACCAGATTCAAGTCTCCATTTGGTGCAGCTTGTAAATTTATTCCGCATTAACGCTTTATTTATCTTGCCTTTTCTTTTTTGTCTTTATTTATCTTGCCTTTACATTCATGTCTTATTTACCTTGCATTTACTTCTCTTCATCTTATTTCTCTTTCGTAAACATAAACATGTCCGACTAATTTATTAGTGATGGGATGTGAGGATATTTAATAGATGGTGCTCTACATGTTGTCTCTTTAGGATTATGTTTGTGGGATATTTTGGTTTAAATTCAGTTTTTCTAAATTCATTTTAATTTGCCATTACGAAAGTGGAACAGTGAAAACATCGGGTAAGATGGAAAGCCGTCTGAAACTAAAGACTAAAATTGGTTTGTTTTTTTACTAACAAATACCGCAAAAGCACTTTGTTAATTAATTAGGAAGTCTAATATTTCTAGAAAGTGATTTTAAACTATTTATGAAAGCACGCATTTATAGGCTTAGGATCTGCTTACCTGAGCGAAAGCCTGGAACCCTTTAGAGTTAAACTTTCCAAACAAAATCGCTTTTCAACTAGGTTAAGTGTTTAATTTCTTAAAAATAGGTTTACTATTTTAACATGATAACCACCTTTAATTAGGGACAATGGATGGCATAAATTAGATAGTAAATTTGGTTATGAATACGTGAAAACGATAGTTCTTTATTAAATTGATTTTTTTTTCAGAAGTAGAAAATATTGTCCCGTAAATAATCTTAGTAGAGACAATTAAAGTATTTTTGAATGATATGAATTACATCTAGTATTATGATTCATCTGAATTTATTAAAGTTATTTACTTCATCAATTTTATTCTTAATTCAATTGCCTTACATAAACACCATAATAATTAGTAGCGATAGGTTTGACAATTGGTCTCTATGGGTTCGATAATATTTTATATTACTTCGACAGGTTTGTGCACTTGCGGAATTCACCCATCAAGTTTTTGGCACCGTAGTCGGGGATCAATTAAGTCAAATATCATAACTATGTTGTTGCACCGTATAGACTAAGGCACTCTTGTTTCTATTTCTATGTATCACCAAACTTTTCTCTACAATTACCACTCCCAGTATTTTGAGGAACCACAATATTCCCATAAATGTGACCTCAAAATGATAATGGGGAACTTCATTGAGATGTAAAATCTATGTAGGCTAGAATCTATGATGAGGAGGTTTGTGGCAACACAAATTCTCCAGAATGAAGAATTTAGAAAGAAAAGCATGTGTAACAATGAAATTCTTAAGAAGCTGAACATTATGGTCGAATCCATCGTGACTAGAAACAAGGCATTGGAGACTCAAATATCCCTACTTGAACAAAAAAACTCTAGGAACCTTCCCTAAGAGACATGCAGATGTTGTACCAACTACTAGTGAAAGATAAATTGAAAATCCTAAGAGTGATAATGAGGTTGAGGAAAGTTCTGGTGAGAAAAGAGTAGAGATTGAGAAAAATCCACTAACACCACCCGAAATGGAGGTTACCGAAGAGGTAGAGAAGGAAACACCTTATTTTGTTCCTCATCCCTATAAACCACCTATCTTTCCCCAAATATTTTTGGGAACAAAGATATACTCCCAATCCAAAAGGTATGTGGAGGTATTGGAAAATATCCACACTAACGCACCTTTGCACGAGGTTCTGCAGAAAAAGGGAAAATTAGAGGATAGTGAAACTAGGGAAATCATTATCTTTAAGAGGGGGAGTTTAGCCTTTGAGATGGTGGATAAAAGAATTAAACCAAACTTGAAAAACTGATGCTCAGGATAGAACCAGAACCACCACCACAAGCTCAAAAGCAAAAACCACCCTACAGAAGGAAGAAAATAAAAGGCGAGGGATATGATAGATGCATTGATAAGTGGCCATGGAAACCGAAGATTATTAAAAGTTCAATCAGGAAATCATTCTCAAAAGAACCACCATGAGTGCCTACACTCCTGATCCATTAAGCTATCAACGTTAAACAAAGCGCTTCTTGGGAGGCAACCCACACGTTTTTCATTTTACCCATAAAACGGTTAACTTTATTTAATAAACTTCTAACTTATGTGTGTTTCTTTTCATGGCCGCTGCATTTTCCATAGCCAAATTTATCAACAAACATTATTTTAGAATGCAGACAATTATCGAGATGAAGATTTGTTTTTCAAAAACAATATCCAGAGAAAGTGATTTGATATCCTTGCTGAGAGAACTATCTCACCTACTAGATACCCAAACTTCCCTTGCGTTGTCCACTTAGGAGTTGTTGATGATGTCCGTCACCATAATACCTGGCGGTACAAATTAGAAAACTAAAATGAATGCCCCTCACCCTGTGAGACTCCTCCAACTCTCGAATATCGTCGTACTCCTTATCCAAATATGCCTTCATCGCCTTTATTTTCAGATCTTGCAAACATGCGCGAGGTTTACTATGAGCTCAACACTTTAAGAAGAGAAGTCATGGCCCTTCGTCATGACCTACGAGAACAAGCTGACAAACTGACTGAATAGTTGAACCATCTCTTCCATTATATTTACTCATTGAGGAGAGCTCAAGGATGTCATGGCCCTTGATTTGATACACACCAGGTTTAATCTTTCCTTTTTCACCTTTTATTAAAACATTGAGGATAATATTTGGTTTAAGTGTGGGAGAGGAACTTTACTTGCTCTCTAGTTAGATTTCTTGTTTCCTAATTTCTTTCTAGTTTTCTTTAGTTTTATTTCAATGCGTTTAGTTTTATTTGTTTTATCGAGCCATTGCATGAGTTGTTGGGTATTTATATGTGGTTTTTGTTGCTTATTAAATTTCTTCCTTTTCTTGAGCCATACCAAAAAATTTTGCAAAAATAATCCGTGTTTGTTTTGAAATTTAGAGTTATTAGACAAATTTAGGACATGTTATAGAGGCTTGGGAAATTTCCTAAAATATCACTATCGTCTTAACATCGTAAGTCTATAAATTATAGAGATCGATTTGGATAATTGTTATGCCTTAGCCTTAAAATCTCACCCTTAAATAAGTCCTTAAGTAGTTTATTTTAGCAGCCGGCACCATCTTAAGCATGCTCTATGTAGGGAATCTGATGAGTATAAGTGAATGATCCTAATTTTTGTGCATTCATTTATTAAAAATATGGAATGCACCTTCTAAGTTAGGTGACCCTCACCCGATCACTTAACCCAACAGTTGTGGAACCTGCAAAAAATAGAATAAAAACCTGTTGTTAGATGGTTCAGAGGTATCTGGTGCTAAACTTTGTAGGGAGGATTACAGTCCGATCACCCACAACTACAATTGGGTAAACTAAGGGGTTACACCACTTTATGTACCAGAACCCCATGTAAAGGATTAGAATCACTAAACGGTCTCCTTACTATGAGTATGTACGGATAACAGGCTTAATGAGATTATGCCTAAATGAAAAAGGATGAAAAATGGGAAGATTAAGTTAGGATTAAGCGTAATGACATGATTCAGATTGGTTTGTATAAGAAAGAGACTTATGACTGCAAAGTGAGGAATGTGTTATTACGATGCTCTTATTTTTTGTGATTTAGTAACTATTGATATAATTGTCCAAAGTAAAAGTCTTTAAGCCTAGAATAGCTATCAAGTATCACTGTTTACTTTCATTTTGCTTGAGGACAAGCAACGGTTTAAGTGTGAGAGAGTTTGACGACACAAAAATACATCATTTATTTGACTTTAGTTGTGCATGTTTTATTTTCATTTTGTTTTACATTTCCACTATTATGTTGATATTTTGTTTGTTTTTCATGTATTTAGCCATTTAAGAGTCACATGTGAAGAAATGAAGCAAAACAGGCGAAAAACAGAAGAAATAAAGCAAGCTAGCATTTATGGTGACCACCATGGCATTCACCATAGGGGTGCCAAAGGTGGTCCAGGCGCCAACTAATGGAGTGACCAAGTCATGCCCACTTTGTGAGCATGGAGGTCTCCATGGAGGGCGTGGCGGTTGCCACCCCTTATAGAGGCCAGATGGTGGAAAATGGGCTTTGCTTAGCCTCTAAGAACTCACAAACCTCCCCTACATTTTCTCCACAATGTTGAAGCATTTTAAGGATTTTTAGGGTTTTTGGAAACCTATAAATACCCCTTGTTCAACCATTTTGATCATCCAAGCTTAATGCATACTTAAGCCATATACTGTCGAATTGTAAGCGTTAACCCTTCATATTGAAGAGTTATCGCGCCATTGA